AAATAAAATTAAAAAAAAGCGTTTGATCTACACATGGATCGAACCCAGGTCATGCTAGTTAAAGGTACATCACGCGTGCTTGCTTCTACCACTGGGGTGGCTGTTACATCCAAACATAAAGCCACCCCTAAAACTATACAAGGCGTGCTTCATGGTTTTTCTGGGCAAGGCCAACAAGCAAGAACAAGAGCGAATGCTGAAATGCGTTATGATTCACTACTTGATCAAATCTTAATGGATTTAAACAAAATTTTAGTCAAACTTATGTGAAATTTAATAAGGATCACAGTGGCAATATCAGTTTTCCAAGATTATTCCCACAATTTAAATTTCGAGGGAACATGCACATGATGAGCTTGAAATGCATTTGTTAAGTTATGGACCAAAACAGGTTGATGTAAGAACAAATAACAGTGTGCACATGCTTGAAATGTGTTACTCATGGAGTTTCAACAAAAAGATTGATCAAAATAGAAATGGAAAAAAGAACAACATGTGAGTTGCAATTATGCCTTGGAAAATGTCACCTTGATGCAACAGTTCAAAATAGTGCAAATGTAAAACACCAAACCAGTCTGCACCAGCTCTAAATATGTTGTTCATGAAGTTCCAACTCAAGGAAGACTCAAAATAAAACCATAACAGAATGTGACTCATGAGTTGCAAAATGAACATGATTTGAACATAACCAAAACGTAATGGAACAACATCGAGCAATACAAATTTCAACATTGTCAGGAACTGCATATAAAGCATTATGACCTGAATAACAAATCAGTTCATGGCTAGTAGCAGTATATCAAGATGCATTTGACATGAATAACCAAACATTATGAACTATTATGCAAACAAACAGTCCATGGTATAAAATCACACACGACTCACAAGGCATAGCAAAACACCAAGAAATACATATATGTGTTCAAACAGTTGACAAACACCAAACATAAACATGTTCAAAACTAGTAGCCACAATGCAAAAACTGAACAGATCCACACATTTTGCTCTTAACAGCAGGCCAACAATGGTCTCAAACTGGACTTAAACAAACAGCTCCTATCAACATGTCATATTATCTACAATCCATCAAAGTTTCAAATGCCAACAATGCGCTAAATCACACCTAGACTAAACAGAACCAAATATTTACAAATGGAAAAGATCAAAATCAAAATTCCCCACCAATCATCCTGACAGTTGCAAAGCTAATGAGAATGGTTTGGGAAACAGAAATGGCAGCTAAATTTGTTATCACAGTGCAAATATGAATTCAAAGTCAAATTGGCAAGAATAGGAGTTAGCAAACTCCAACGCAAAACAGCAGCAAGTTTTTTTTATAAAAAAAACAGTCACAGTTTTAGCTATAACAATGCATTCAAACAATAAGTCCTCTTTGGTTCCTTAAAGACAAACATCACTTAAACAAACAACACACAAACCAAACTTACATGAGCAGCAAAAAACTGGACAAACAACAATCTTGAGTTGATAACCTTAGATTGCAATAACAGTTGGGAGTCCTAAACATGTTCAAAACTAAAGGCCTCAGTGCAAACAGATTCAAACATTACAGCCAAGGATAACACACTCACCATGAACTCCAACGATCATGCCTTTACAAAGTCAGGGCACACACATAAATACAACTCAAATTGATCTAAACAGCCGCATAATCAACATGATTAACAACATCTGCATACACAATGTTCATGTTGACAGCCAATGATATGGAGTGTTCATTTTGAAGTGCAAAGTCTAGACAATGATCCATTTGGGATTAAACATGAGCTTGAGCAAGTTTCAAATATGTTGGTTGATGGTTAGATGCTCATAAATCAAACAAATTCATGCTACCACAGAAAATGGATATGATGTTGCAAGCTGTTTTTGAGATCACAGTGGTATTGCAAGCTGGGATCAAACATGAGTTCAGGTGTAAACAGGTCATGAAAACAATGCACACATATTACAAACATGAAGATGGATGGAAACAGAACCAGAATCTAGGCATACTTTAATCATGGCAAAAAAGGCATGTTGGTTGAAGATGCTAAAAAAACAGCTTTGGTAACCTTTAATGATGCAACAGGTGGGTTTTCAAGTGATGACATTTCAAACCAAAATAATGACTCACACACATCTCAAACATGATAATAGGTAAGATTGAGTTCACAAATTAAACACATTTCCATTTAAAACAGATATTGGCAGGTGGTGGTATGTGAAAAACAATTTTGGGAGCAAAAGATAGTGCAGCAAAAAAAAAAAAAAAAGAGGATTTAGACACAACTCACCTCTTGAAGACTCCCTCAAGAAAACCACACAGCCAGCTATCCTTTCTTTTCAGCAGGCTTTGATGTTTCCTCTCTTCTTGATGCAAAGATTGAGTGGTTTTCTAGAACTGTTAAAGAGAACCACAGAAATTTCCCTCTGATTTTTGCACAAAAGTGGTGGCTGCCCTCTAGGGTTTTCACACTTAAGCTTTTATACTCAAGTCCCAAAACCAGCCAGCTGTTGAACTCGTTTCCTTGGCCTTATTGTTGGAGTGGAATGCAGGTTTTGGTTAGGGGCTGCAGAGGTCAGAGCAGTGGCTGCTTGTCCATTGCCTTGTCTGGTAAAGAAATTCAAAAACAAGCAAGCAAGTACCTCACATGTTGGTCTTGATATGACAAAGTTTAACACAAGCTCCATAAAAAAACCAAACTTGCTTCCTCTTGCATTTTCACTTTCATCTTAAAACACACACATAAATTGTGAAAACCAACTATACCACATCAATCCTTGCTGAAAAACAAACAGGATAGGCTTTTGTTTCGCTGAAAATGGTGGAGTTTTGCTCAATTTCCCATCCTTCACGTATGGCCAATGTTGTGTGTTCAAACTTGCCCAGCCATGAAAAAGAATAAGGTACTTATAAATATTGGGGTGGCCAAATACATGGATGTATTGCCACCCCAGTGGTTGAAGCAAACGCGCAAAATGCATCATGACCATGGTTCGATCCTTGGTGAAGACAAAACCCCCCTTTTATTTTCCAGCGCTTTTCCAACTTTTAAAATATATATTTCTCTTTCCTTTGCTTATCACATGTGCATGAATGGATAAAATGGTGAAGCAATGTGTTTGTAATCCGAAGGTAGTGAGTTCAAATCTCACCTTGTGCATTTTATTTAATTATTTTTTTTTAGTTGGATTTTTTTTCTTGGATGATATCTGGTAGATCAATGTGCAAATGAAAAGTATGAATGTGTTGGACAAATTTAGGGTATGACAACTAACATGAATGCAATAGATCTTGGTTTATATGAAGTCGGTTTCGCCTTGTTTATGTGAATACCTATAACCGAAATCCGGCTAATAGACAAGAATATGACTTTCCAAATTGATGAGCTCACCTTACTCGATCGTCCATCCAAATCGGCCAGGGTCCTTTTAAGACCTGCATTGGCTCTTCCGAGCTCATTCCTCGACCGATCAAGCAAAATTTCTGAGTATATTGTACAGTTAGGTTGACAAGTGGTTCTTTCTAGTGGTCATACACTTCTTTTTTAATTATTTTTCTTTAAGAGGTAGAGCAAAGTCTATGGTCATTTTGTTATGATCTGACTAGTTGTAGTCTGTACCATTTGAAGAGCCCATAATAATGTCATTTTTAATGATTTTAAAAAAAAGTGAAATAAGTGGACGAGAGAGTTTTTTTGTCTATAAATGATTTTTAGGCAGATCGGAAGTGAACTCAGTTACTTCTAATAACTGATCGAATGTTTTACTTAGTTTTGAGGTATGTATTAGTTTGTGGTTTTGTTGCTTTGTTGGTGGATTTTGATCTGTTAAAGGTTGTTTTAGAGACGTGAGATCTAACCTTTCCTTTGGGGTTGATCTTTAGTTGTTTTGGCGTTTTCTCTCCCTATCTTGTTTTGATTATTTTGTGGTTCGGTTGGTTGTAGTGTTTTTTTTGTTGAATTTCTATTTGTACATATGTTAGTCTTTCGAATATTTTTTATGTTTTAAAATTATTTGTATTTGGGTGGTTATCACCTTTTTATTAATATGTTATTGTCATTAAAACAATTTTCTTAGTTTATATTATTTTTTTGAAACCAAATTTATTAAATATTGATGTTTTCATCATTAAAATATATGCATGCAAAATAAATAAATAAAATTCGATTTGAAGGTGATGATACACATAGTTTTAATTAAAAAGCTATTATTTAATTTTTTAACAAATATTACACTAAAAATTAAGATTGGTATATATTCTAAAACAATTTTTTTTCAAATGTATCATGATAAGTGTGAGTAATGTTTTAGTAGAGTTGTTCATCATATAAAAGAAATCTAAACCGAACAAAACATAATTATAGTAAAAGATCAGTCGAACTGCAACAATTCAATTTATCTAGAACATACCTAAACCTATTAGTTTTGTATACTGATTTTGAATTTCAAACTATACTAAAATGTTAGAAAACAATTTTCTCAAAACAAACTATTTGTTAAAAAACTAAACCATTATATATTTTTTTTCAATTTTTTTTAGCATTTTTAATTTTTAATTTTAATTTGTTTTAATTTTTAATTTTGATTCAATTTATTTGTTCAATTCTAAAATCATTTGTACAAAATAATTAAATTTATTAATCCATTTATTTTATCTTCACTTTGATTTTAGTTGGTGGTTCAATTCGATTCAATAGTTTTTTTTAAGAGTCCTATCAATGCAACATTCTAGATGTCTAGTAAACAAGACTAACAAACAAGATTAACAAATTAACACCTCAACAACCAAGGGTAATGGAAAAAAATATTTAGTTTACTAGTTACTTCTAACTAAAGATAATAGAAATTCCTAGACTTTAACAACCACTAGAATATGAGACCACATTATTGAGCCTCACAAATATTTGCCTATAAAAGTGGTCCATTTCTCTCCTTTTCTTATCATCCTATAACTCAACACCAAAACACAAAAAACATTATTGTTTATTTCTTAACAATGGCTTCCAACACAGTTAGTGCACTCATTATATTGCTTTCTCTTGTTTGCTATTCAACATTTTCACATGCATGTGGTTCATGCAATCCAAAACCTAAGCCTAGTCCTCCACCACCTTCCAAATCACCTAAGCCTTGTCCTCCACCTAAGGCTAGCACTCCACCTAAGGTTAGTCCTCCTACTCCTGTAACACCGCCTACGGCTAGTCCTCCTACTCCTTCAACACCACCTACGGCTAGTCCTCCTACTGTAACGCCGCCTACGGCTAGTCCTCCTACTCCTTCAACATCCCAAAAATGTCCAAAGGACACATTAAAGCTAGGTGTATGTGCTAATCTTCTTGGACTTGTTAATGTTGTTGTTGGAAGTCCTGCTTCAAGCAAGTGTTGTGCATTGATTCAAGGTTTGGCTGATTTGGATGCAGCAATTTGTCTTTGCACTGCTATTAAGGCTAATATTCTTGGTATCAACTTGAATGTTCCTGTCACACTCAGCCTTCTACTCAGTGCTTGTGAAAAATCTGTTCCTTCTGGTTTCCAATGCTCTTAGAGTTTCATGTTATAGGTTCAAGCCATTCAAGTACTTATGTTACTACTATGTTGTTTTTATTTTAGTTATTGTTACGGTAACATCATGATTTTGCTAAATTATCATGAATCCAAATAAGGATTATAAGATATGTATATCCTTTCAATAATGGGGTAAGCTTGTTTGCCTTATTTACCAACTTTGTCTTTCAAATTTGAATAAATGTGCGGAATCTTCGTTTGATAATTGTGTGATTGTTTCTTTGTATTTTGGTGAAAGGTTAATTGTTCTTCTTTTAATATATATATATTTGTCATTTAAAATAAACTTAAATTTATGCAATGAATGGATTATTGTATTTTAATTTGGGTTTATTGGAGTTGTGAGAATTGAAGCAAAGCATGTATTATTGCTGAAGTTAAATTCAATCCATAAGACGAAATGCCAATTTAAATTCACGTGTAAGCTCTATTACAAATTTATGTGGACCACACATTCATGCACACTCACACCATTGGAAGTTTTTTTTTAAATTTGTATATTTTTATAAGATAATGATTAGTTTTATAAATATATTATAATTCATTTTTTGAAATATATTTATTACTTATTGTTAGTAGAGTTTTTATATATTCTTATGTTTGAAGTGTTGGAAAAAAAAAACACGCGGAAGATGTCTCTATAAATTATTTTAAATTATTTTTATTCTACATTTTTTATATCATGTCGAATAAATAGAATAAATAAACTAAAGACAAATAACAAGATTTTTAATTTTTCACATATAAAAAAATTGAGTTTAAAGTTTAATTAATTAATTTTTATAATAATGATTTCAATAAATATAATAATTATTTTTAACTAATATTAACAGTAAAATCACATAAATATTTTAACTCAATATTTAAGATATTTAATAGTACCACAAACATATTTAACCAAATATTTTACAATATCATTCATAAAAATTTAAAACAATTATTTTTTTAAAAATTAAATTAATCAAGTAACTAGAATTTGAAACTCTTTTATTCATCATGTTACTAATGTTTGACATCTATTCTATTATCTATTATAACATATTAATTATGAGATAACTATTTAATTGACAATTCATCATCTCTCGTGTCAATCTCTCGTGTCAAGTCAACTAAAATATGATGTGACACTCTTCAAAGTTTATCAAAACAAAATTTTTAATATTCATTTTAACATAATGTGTAACATTCCAGTCATAATTATTAAAATAAAACACTCTTCTATTTTACAAAATGTTTTTCTATTATACTTTTCATATATTAATTTTTTTTTGTCTTTTTTGTTCTATCATATGGTTTTTGAACTAAATACATAATATAATATTTTATCTCACAAAATTTATAAATAAAAGATAAAAAATAAAATAAATATTACACTGATTAAAATAAAATAGTTAAATAGTACTTTTAAATTTAACTTATAACTCTACAATAGATAAACAAATATCTTTCTAAAATATATTTTTTAATTATAATTATAGTTACATGCTTTTTTTGACGGGGTTATTGTTACATGTTAAAAATTAAACTTCAAATATAAAATTAAATAACTATTTTTTAGTCTATTACATATAAATGTCCAATAATATATTAGTAAATTATAAGTAATTAATATAAGAAACAATTCAATTAAATTAAATCAATTATATATATTAAAACTATTGATATAAAGAATGAAAGAAAAAACTATTGATATAAAAAATGAAAGAAAAACACACAAAATAATATTTTTCTATTTATTTTAATACACGATTCATCGTCCAAATCATAGAAACATATTAAATTGTTATATTTATTACATTCACAATCCATAGAATGATGAAAAAACATTTTTTGAAATATAAAAATGAAAAATGAAACAATAAAAAACTTCTTAAATTTTATATATTTATTTCACAGATAAATTTTTTAATTTTGATGTCTTATCTTATATTTTCATAATTCAAACAAAAAGTTTCATAGCTAACTCATATCAATCTTGTGCATCGCACAAGTCTTAATCTAGTAATATATTAAATTAAAAGCACAAACTATGTTGATGACACTTCAATATAATTTGTACCACATCACCATTATTCTTATGTGTTAGCTTCTAAATTTCATCTTCACTTCTCAAAATACACATTCACATGGTGTTAGAGATCATGAGTTTAATTTCCGACAAATACAAAACATATATTAACTTAACAATTACTTATTAACTTCAATACACATAATTTTTATAAAACTTATTCAATATCAGTTTTTTTTCATGAAATTATTTTTCATTATAAAAATTAAAGAAAATAAATTTTTATATATATTTTTAATTTTATTTTCTATTCTATATTCTTAATATCATGTTGGACAAATAAATTCTTAACAAATAACAATATTCTTGATTTCTCACGTATAAAGATATAAAATTTGTCAAATTGATTTATATTTTGCACAATTTTTTTACTTACGTTTATCATAGGGAGTATAGTAAGAAAATACTTAAGTTGTAATGTCTAAAATAAGAAATTCAATATTTTAATTAATATCAACAATAAAATCACATTAAAAATATTTATGATATCATTATTAAGAAATTAAGATAATTTATTTTAAAAAAATATCATAAAAAAATATTAACCTAACAAATGCTTCGATATAAATTATTTTCATAAAATTTACAAAACAATGTTTATATTTTCTTGCAGTTATTTTTAGAATATAAAAATAAAAGAAAAGAAATTTTTATATATCATTTAAATAAAATTTCTATAAAATAATTTTAACTTCTTTCTATTCTACATTCTTCATATCATGTTGAACAAATAAACTAAAGAAAAACAACAAAATTCTTGATTTTTCACATATAAAAAAATAGAATTAAAGTTTGCTCAATTATTTTTTATAATAATAATATCAATGAATATAATAAAAAATAAAGATAATATTTTTTAAATAACTCTCATATTTAAACTAATATTAACAACAAAATCATATAAATATTTTACAATTTCATTCATAACAAATTAAAATAATTCTTTTTTTTAAACTATGTTAATATTCTAGTAACAAATATTTGAAACTCTTTTATTCATTATATTATATAATTATAATTTAATAAAAAATATATAAAGTTTAATTTACAACCACGCATGAGTGGATCTTATTTTAGTAAAAGATAAATTATTGGTAGAACCGCAATGAGTCGGAGAGTACTAGCTTTTTGGATCAATTTTATTGTTGAATCGTGAATGAATTTATAGTTGAAATGTAATGTGGGACAACTTTTTTAATAAACAAAGGAGATATTTAACTTAGATTGGAGAAAAGGAGTTCTCACTGCAAGAAAAATACACTAACAAAGCAAGCATTAAAAGTTACATGATAAACAACTACTTAGATTTGAAATCCAATCCATACATTTGTAGGGAAGTCAAAAATATCCGTACTTGCAGATATCTACGGATAAAATCCGTTAAGGATATAGTGCGGGTAGTTTAATGCATATCCACAGATAAGATAAATAGATATTTAAATATCTGTTTTTTAATAGATATGTATACGAGTTTAATGATATTTGTGTCCGTGGATATCCATATCCGTTAATAAATTATAAAAGTTATTTAAATATTATTAGTTCACTATACCTTATCTTTTCATCTTCTAAAATAAATAGTCTTATTATATTTCTTTCTTCTTCTTCTTTTTTTTTTCTTTTTTTTTTTTAATTTTCTTTGAAGAAAAACTTTCATATTTCATTCAAATTATATTAGCCATATCATATTTAAACTCTTCAATACTTCATGCTTCACTTCAAAAATTTCACAGTCCAACCAGCTAGTGTTGTCATTCCTCTTTCGAACTAATGTCTTCCTGCCTACTCCTTTGTCGTTCGCTCTTCCATCATAACTCACAATCATAATATCTTTTATTTGTTTGGTTAAAAATGGAATGTTTGGATATTATGTTTGGATCTAATTATGTTTTGGTGAATAAGAAGAAAATTAATGTGATGAAATTTTATGTTAAATTAAGAGCGAATTGTATGAATGTTATGTGATAATAAGTTTTTGTCTTTAAAGAAGTTAAATATTTTTTTTCAAAAAATAATTTAAAGCCTCAGATACTAGACATGCGTGTTTCAATGATGTCAAAACCTAGCCGCATGGAAGAATAGACATTTGGCGTTATCACCATGATGCATAAGCATACCTTATTTCTCATGTTTATTTGCTTGCACTAAATATCTTGAGTACTGCATTTAGAGTGTCAAAATATGCGTCATACGAGTTAAACTCAATTGGTCTATTATAGGTTTCATCTAAGAGAATCAAAAATATGAATTTAGGCATTTTTTGAAGTTTCAGGTCTTTGAGTCGACCTAAACTCTGCTCTGGTCGACTTATGGCAAGTATCCTAGAAATGCATTTTTCTCGGGTTAGGTATGGTCGACCTACCGGTCGACGCATACTGTTGTCATTTGCATTTGTCTAAAAATTCAGGCTTTGCGTCGACATATGCCTTGTTCTGGTCGATGCATAGTTGTGTGTTTTGCACAATATGTTGCCTCGGGTTTGCTTAGGTCGACCCTGCACTCTGCATGGGTCGACCGCTCGTTGTTTGCTGCATATTTTCTGATTTGTCTATTATTTATGAAAGTCGGTTTTATCAGTTATAACAGTTTTGTCTGGTATAAAAATTCAGCTGCTCTATTCATTTCATATCAATTGAATCAATTACAAAAACAAGAAAAGTGAAAGAGGTGTCAATTCAAGTTCTC